GGAATGGAATGGAATGGAATGGAATGGAATGGAATAGAATAGAATAGAATAGAATAGAATAGAATAGAATAGAATAGAATAGAATAGAATAGAATAGAATAGAATAGAATAGAATAGAATAGAATAGAATAATAAAATAACCAGATCTCCCCAGCGAGGGCTGTCACAGTGCACCGCACAGTTGATGGATTGGAAGCCGCACCCAAGCGCGGCGGACCCGCGCCCGCGCTCCCACCTTCCCGGCCCTGCTGGTCCCGGCAGAACCGTGCGGGGCAGCGGGCGGCGCCGGCGGGATAACTCCGCGGGGCTTGCGCAGCGGTGGCGGTGCGCATCTCGGACGGACACCCGCGCTCGCCCCCTGTCCCCGCCCAGGGACCCGGTGGACCCGGTGCTGGAGTGAGCATCTCCGCGAGGGACGTCGCAGGAATGGGGCCCTAAATATGAAATGTGTTAGAATTGCTGCCTGTTGTCACCTCCTGTATTTTGTATTTCGTTTTAGCCGCTGCATAGCAGTTTAAAAAAAGAGTCAAAACAAGTTTTGTCTTTTTTTTTTTTTTCCCTCCACTTCGGTCCTTTGCGGCTGTTTATATTTCGGTTCGGCTTGTGTTTTGTTTCTTAACTCAAAAACTACGTTAACTTTTAGATATACAGACCATTAACTCACACAAATCGACTGTCCAGAGTACGGTTTTTTGGTAAAGGTAGCCTATTAAGGTTTGATGGGACGTTTCTATTAAAACACAAATTCCACTGATAACGTAAACAATTTCCGAATCACAGTTTTATTATACTTCCCTTTCCACCACCTCATAATGTACATGACGCATCTCTCCCCGGCAGCAGCCCCATGGCAGGTGCCATCCTTTGGGAAGGCAACAGATAAGTATTGAAATGAAGAACTGACCAGCTAAATTCCGGGTCCCGCTGGCCGGTGTTATAAATGACAAAAGGATTTTCGACTCCACCGACAGACGAACAAGATCCCTCTCTCCGCAGGAGAGACCTTTTCCATTTACTTTCATGACAGAAAGGCAACTTGCATCCTGGGATAAAAGCGAATCGAGTAGGTGGGTACTTAGCACTAGCCCAGGAAGAAAAAAAAAAAAAAAAAAAAAAAAAAAATCCTGCAGCTTTTGATTCTAAGTCAAACCTTTAAAGGAAATATAAGCGTGGCATTTGACTTCTCTTTTCCTCTTACTGTCAAGCACGTTTAGCCTTCAGTAAGCAAACGGAGGATCAGTTTTGTATCTGAGATTCTTTCAGATGCTGGAAGTAATTTGTTTGTATTTTACATTGCGTCACCTACACCCTGGACTGGAATGGGGCCTGATCCTGGAAACTCACAGCAGCCTTCAATCTCTCCGCATCAATCGAAGAGATTTACCATCTGCTTCAGAGTTGTGAGCTACGCAAAATCAAAAAGCGGGGCTCCCTCCCGTCTCCTCTGCCTGATCGAGTGCAAAGTGACACCCAAGGAACCAGCTCGGCCGCAGTGACAGGGAGACCTGCACAGCCGGTCGGTCACTATCGGCAGCATTGCATGGCTTCCCGCGGTGACCTGGAGGATTTTCCAGGGGTAGCAGGTATTTTTCTGACAGTTTATTAAGTTGAACGCATTTCAGGTTTTTCATACCAACAGTATAAGGAGATTTTTCCCTCGGATAAAAGTAACAACGATTCTAAAGAAGACCGTTTGCAAAAGGGGCACGTGTGACAGAACACAAAGAGATAAAGCAGTCTAATAATGTTCAGCTTTTAACATCTCTGTGCTGGCCCTGTGGGGAGAGGGAAAAAAAAAAAAAAAAAGATTTCCAAAAGTCGTAGGCATAGGGAAGAATGGATTTGGGGGTTGTTCGTTTGTTTTGCTGAGAGAGAGAAGGAAAACACCCAGACGAAATATTCAGGGGCAAATCCTTTAGAACTTGGTCCAAAGACGCTGCATACAGCAGGATCTCCCGATTGCAGATGCTATCAGCACTATATGCTATAGCAGCGTTCGGAGAAACACGAGATCCTGCTGACAGCACTTCAGTGAACAACTAGACAGTGAACAACTAGACAAACAGTAGTTTGTCAGTAACTTTATTTTTTTTAAAAAAAAATGGCATGACAAACTGGAACCAAGACCAAAATACTGTATCCACTGTACATCATTCATTAGAAAACAAACATACACCACATTTGTATTCTACCAAACAGAGAGCGTATTTCCTTTGAAATTATATAGTGCGTGCTTTTAGATTCATGCTTTTCAATATTTATTTTACATTTGTTACTCAAATATTATCTGTTATAAATAATTGCAACTTGATCAAATGGTGCACCTGTTAGCGTATGCGACCCTCTTCAGCGCTGTGTGGCTTTTTGTTGCCTTTTTTTTTTTTTCTTCTTTCCAAAAAGCTGTTGGTATTGCTTTATTAGGCCCCGAGAAAGCACGTCTGAGGTGTCAAATAAAGTGTACAGATGCCAGAGGCGTTTGCAGAGCCGGGACTGCTGCTGAGCCCCACGGCCGGGGCCGCTGGGACAAGTGACGGGAGAGCACATAGAAAAAAATCGTTTCCAAAAGGCACAAGTTCCTCGACACAAAGGTACAATAAAAATACATGGCCACTGAAATCCAGGCGCCTGTGCGGAAGCGGTGCCTCTCCGGTGGGATCCCGGGCCCGCCAGGGTTTCGCCCCTCCCCGCCCCGCCCCGGCCCTCTCCCGGC